GGTCTGGTCGCCTCTACCTAGCCTACCTAACTGTCCTATCAGGACTTTGGTGTTGCATCGAGCCTTGAACATGTTAACATGGACAACATGCACCTGGCACAGCTAGCAAATGGTTCAACAAAAGAATAGAGAGGTAACGTGGATATGTCCGACACACACACACACACACACACACACACACACACACACGCACACCAACACACACACACACACACACACATCCTGAGGGTGTGACTGCATTAGCTTCCAGAGGCTTTCCACTCCATGTCTGTGCTCAGCGGAGCGTCCTGCCGGATGGACCCATGACTCTCCGGGTCCACGTGGCTGTGGAGATGCAGCAGGAACAACCAGCACCAGTGTGTGGGTCTGTGTTGGCTTCTGAGTTCATGAAACTGTTTCTGTTTGGAGCATCACAACCAGCAGTCCTGTTGTTGTGTCTGTTGTTTTCTGTCTGTTGCTGGTCTCAGACTGTCACGTGGTTCTGATGATATCACAGCTAACACAGTCTGAGCAGAATATCAAAGTGTTCTGTTTTTCTGGACAACGTCGCTCTTTGAATTATTTCAATGCAAAATGTATTTGCTTTCGGTCAGTTTAATCTTTCGGAGCAACTTGCAGGTTCTCAATCTCAGCCGACTGATTGGCCGGAAAATTAAGCAGAAACTATTTTTTCGAAATTGAAAAACAAACACTGGAGTCATTTTTGTGCTGAAATCTAATACCTGCATCAAAAACCACAATTTAGCCGCAACCTGTTTTGTTTCAATACCACGATCGCGACTTTGATATGATACCAAATATAGTAATGCTGACGCTACCGACAACCCAGAACACCAGAGGAATGATGGATTATAATATGACAGAACATAAAACTTTATGTTGTTGTTCTTCTGAATAATCAACATAAACAGAAACTACTTTAGTAGTCTGAATGCGAGGCGGTGGGGATGTGAAAAGAAAAAACATATTAATACTGACCCAGAAGAGGAGGAGCTCTTGGTTCAGATCTTCACTCGTCGCTCCACCTCCACGGGTCTCTCTGCTGCTCAGTCCTTGCACAGATCAGTGCAGCAGTCATTTAGTGCACATTTTAATCTCCTGGGTTCAGTCTTTGTGCAGGATGTCAGCTGAGCAGTTCTAACTGGTGCTGCTGGTCTGCAGACTGTGAACGGCTGGTTTAAGCAGCTGGCAGTGATGTGTGAGCGTTAGTGTGGATCCTGGTAACGTTCACACGGTACCAGCAACAGTTCCATTGGTTTAAGCCAACTCAGCAGTTGTCCCTGCCCTCGCCTTGTTCCTGCCTCATGTTCACATCACAGTAAGTCTGTAGGTCTACGGTCTGCACTGTTTAACAGGATTGGCACTTTGCATTAACACAAACTAATGTGTGAGGACCAGCTGGGATCAGTCACATCTGGCTTTCCCCAACATAAACCATTAAACCATCACTACATCTTGCAGTGCCTCATGGAGAGGGCTGGCTCATGTTAGTCACATTATAAAGCAGACTTCTGGTGCACTGCTGGGGTTTTCCTCCAGCTGAATCTGACAGATGTGTGACTGTTCCTCCTGCAGTGGCAGAAGCTGCTGCTGCTGCTGGACCTGGAGCTGCTGTGTCAGCTGAAGGAACCAGAACCACACAGTCCAGCTCTCTGTTCCCTGGAAGCCCACCATATCTCAGGGAACGTACAACATCACCCTCATGTGTGTAGGACTTTGTTTTTATGAAAGATGCAACAGTCAGCTCCCGACTCTTCTCCTGCAGCCAGACACCAGAGACAGCTGTGCATCTGACCAGCTGTGCATCTGACCAGCTGTGGACTCCATGTCCAGCCTGCACAGCAATTCAACATGAGAACAGATCTTGTAATGCATGGTAAAAGTCCCAATAGTTAGCATTGTTTCATTGTTTCAGCAGCCATCCTGTCTAGAACCCGGCCCGGTCGGGTCTCAGAGGATGCTGCCGTAGCACTTCTCAGGGGGTAAACCAGAGCAGACGCTCGGGGCGGGCCGAGGCACACTTCACAGTGGGTGACGGAAAAATCAATTAAATCCGACTGATGAGTCCCGTTAGAGATCAGTGGCAGTACCAGGATGTGAACTGAGAGCGGTGCTGCAGTGGATTCGGTCTCTGCTCCAAACTCATCTGACCTCAGACCTTCTGAACGTTTCTGGGGATCTGGAAGACTGAGAAAGACCAACAGTCCTGACAAGTGGCTCTGTGGAACGTTGTGACGTCGTGCTGGGAGAAGACGGCCTGTCGGGTCCTTGCAGCTCGAGTGCTGCTGTCAATAAAGCAAAAGGAAACAAACAGACACTGATGGATTCATGGTGTAGTGGTCAGAGACAGTGTCTGAGCCAATCCCTGCTGAGGGCACACATCCCAGTGGCTGTAGGAACATGTTGGCTACACAAGTCAGGCATAACTATGAACTGGAACATTCTAGTTCTGCCGTGTGTTCTAAAAGAACCTCCATATCCACCGTCCGTACTCGGTCCTGACTCTGTAAAAGGGAAACAGACCAGCGGCACTATTCCAGCAGGTCTTGTACACATTCACAGGGCATCTGTAGTCCTTTGTTTGTGCCTGATCTGCGTCCCAGGTGTGTGTGTTCTGGTCCGGTTCATAGCTACGGACTGTCATACAGTTTTTGGAAAGGCTGTGTGGACAGAACAATATCTTCCTTTTTTATTTTTCCTAAGACTGAACAATACAAAAGTTATTTTCTATAAAGTCGAGAGATGTTTGATTTAAGCTGTCAGAATACCAGATGTGTTGAATCCAGTTAGTCCATCTATTAGTTGTCTGTCATTCAGTTAAATTCAGTTTAATTTATATGATCTCACAGTGATTACAGCAGTAATATAGAGGCCAACGGAAGCTGCCTTTGGATTCCCTATGAGGTTGGATAAGCTCTTCTTCAGTATCTGATGGACCAGCAGCTCTCTGTACGTACGCGGTGACGAGGAGCTGTTCCTGGTAAAGAGGGGAACACATGCCATAGTCCACATGCACTTGTTCTTTACAGCCTATGCTTTCTTGTTCATCCTCTGCGTCCACAACGGAGAGGAGCTGTGGCTCAGTTTGACCTGTGCAGGCCACCGGATCACAGCAGCTTCACTGGACCGGTTCCCCAAACTTATTCTGTCGGCTACCTGCGGTACTGTGGATCTCATGTTGTTCATGAGTGGGGGTGCAGTCCACATCCAGTCATCAGCAATTAGTGGCAATAAACCACCTAATGAGGCAGTGCACCAGCAAGGCAGTAAAGAGAAGACTGACAACTAAAACCATGCAGGAGTCGTGTTTGACGAGGAACAACATCCGTCTGACGTGTTGGTTGGACCTCACAAACACACACACTGACTTGTAGTGAGTACACATGACTGGTTAGCTACTGGGTTGTATGGAGCTAATGTGGCGTTGCATCTGTATGGGAACATCTGATCTGGTACCAGGATGTGCCTCTCACCTGACACCTCCCTCTGCTGCTCCGTTTCCTCTTCGTTGGCTCCACTTCAGGCCAAACGCACTCCGGCAGTCGGACGACGCTCGCCGGCCGGATGCTGCTCTCTGATGTGGAGGCATCGGTGTGGTCAGCAGAGATCAATGAGACGGGAGGGAGGAGAGCTGGTTGGATGGGAGATGGAGGGAAGAACAGATGAAACGGCGTGCTGGAGTCGAGCAGAAGAGGAGACTTTGAAGGAAACAGCGAGACAGAAATGAAAGAGGTTTAAAGGCTGATATTGATGTGTTGACATTCAAAACCTCTTTGTGGTCATTGTTATGTCAAGTCTGCAGATTTAGAGTTGAGGACAGACTAGACGGCCTCAGGTCCAGATGACAGGAGGGTATGTTCATGCTTTGAGTGAAGTGTTAGAAAAGTGCAGTAACATTCATCTGAGTGTGCATCACAGCGAGGTGTTCTGTAGCGCCGGCCTTCACCCACCTGCCTCCTGTCGGCCTGGTTTGTGGCCTCCTGCAGCTTCAGAGGCTCAACACATCCTGATCACGGCTCGTCTAACGCTTTACTGTGCAGCATCTGAACTGCTCATCCCCCCAAACGTCCTCCAGCCAAAACCCATCTGAGCCGCTTTTAAAGCAGGAAACACATTGTCTGGTTACGTAATGGTCATTTTTGTCCCGCGGGAACACAGAGGGACACTTTCCTCTGCTGTCGGCTCTTTCAGTGAGCTCCAATTAGAGGAAGACAATGAACAGAGCTGGACGCTGATCACTGCTGGCAGGAGGCTGGGGACGGAGAGCAGCTCGGTCCAAACTGAAGGAAACGGAGTGCAACGACATCTGAAATGGTAAAATTAAACTTCACTTTTCTACATTTCTGTATCAGAGTTCCAGTGTTTGCAGTAAATGCTGCAGTGTTCTCCTGTTTCTCTGCATGTGCTGCACATCGTATGTCCATCACACGGCCTGCTGTTGGCCTCCACATCACGGGGAGGCGACACTGTTAACTGAGACGTATAAAGGCTAATGCTGGCCTGAGAGCGTGAGATGAGAGGCTCAAAGCTGTTGGATTGAGAGGACTGAGAGGGAGGATCATATCAGAGTCTGCAACACTGAGGCCGGCAGCAGCATCAGAAAGTGGATGTATTGATGGAGAGGAAGCAGATAAGTGGATGGTACTCACATCAGGTCGGTGGTGTGTCCTCTCATGTTCAGCCCTGGTGCTCGTTCAGTAGGTCTGGCTGATGTGAAGCATTGTATGAATAGAGATGTTCTCATGAAGATGAACTGGAGGACTCTAGTGAGCTTCTAGTATTTACTTTGCAGCATGACGATGAGGGCCTGACCTCCCTGTTCTCATTACATCTGATCCTCTGACATGTTCATGCACCTTAAGACCAGTTAAGACCATGATCTTTTTCTCCTAATGATTTACCGAGCACATTTATGTTTCACATTTCAGCCCTGCTGGCAGCATGGCTCAGCTTTAGGCCAGACAGGAATATGTCTTAAAACAACCACTGGATCAATCACCATGAATGTCGATACCAACGTCCATGTTCCCCAGATGATGAGCCCCAATAGTTCTGGGGATCCCCTGACTTCATGTCCAGCTTCCAATGAGTTCACAGGTTGGGTCCAGACAGCTGACGCTGGGTTTCACACATTCATGCTCCCCAGAGGATGACTGACTGTCCCGTCTTTTAGCTGGTGCCAACTGTGGATCTTAGTTTTATTTATTTTTATGGATTTCCATGACATTTGGTTGAGACACTTATATTTTCCTTCTGATAAACCGTCATCACACTTCGCCTGGTGCCATCATCATGTCAAAGCTGCTCGGTCTGTCAGTGATCCCATGAGGATGAACCCCTTCGATCTTGAAGACTCTGCAATCTTTAAAATGTGTGTTTTTACAGAGGTGGCATCATTTAACGTCGGCTTGGCCTTGACTCTTCTAATGAAAAGATAAAACAGAAGTTGCCTGGCTCCCCGTGTGAGGATCTGATGCGTGCTGTTGGTAGAAGACGTCCAGCAGTGAGAGGGCATGTCCTCCTCTGTGAACATCTCCCCGGCCATCCTTCTCTCACTCTCTCTCCCTGTGCATGTGTTCTTGTCATCTTTTCTCAGCCAAAGTGTCACAGTATGGTCCCATTCTCCCCCAGCCGCCTGACAAACAGCCCATTGTGTGAGTGAGCAGAGCAGCCGACCTACCAGCTCTTCACAGCCTGGAGGGCTTCGGCTTTTACTGCATTCTTCTGGGACTCCATGAATCTTTTACCTGTTTGTTTCCTTTAACAAGAAAAGGTATTTTATAGAACTTGTTGAAGCCTAAAATCACTCCAACATTAGCAGAGTTTCCAGAAGCCTGTTCAGTTGGTGTGATGACATAATGAAGTGAGCTGTACGAAAAAAACCGAGCAGTGGAGTCTAGATGACTGCAGTAAACACACCAAGTACAAGCAGAGCGTTTATGAGGGACAGGGCTGCTCCTGACTCATTTATTTATTTTATATAGAAAGCTATTAGAGAATTGTACGACACCAGAGATGGGGGTTGGATGCACACATTCGCTGCCCATCCGGTGTCTCCGCTGCTGGAGCATCGTCCCTGATTGCAGGATTGATCCCAGTGTGGCCTGACGTGGCCCGGGGTGGCCCGGCGTGGCCCGGGGTGGCCCGACGTGGCCCGACGTGGCCCGACGTGGCCCGGTGTGGCCCGGGGTGGCCCGGCGTGGCCCGGCGTGGCACTCTGGTGACTCAGACAGAGACAGTATTTAGTCATGTTGCTGCACCGACCCGTGTTTGGTAGAAGCCGTCTGCAGGAAAACGCTTTTCAAACCTGATTCTGGGGAAAAGTTACCAAAGTTTTTAGGTGGTTTAAATCGGTGATTCTGGACATGCCAGTTATATGTCCCGGTTGTGACTCTCCCCGCTCATGTAGATGTGGACCTGGTTTGGTAAGCCTGAAATAACCTTCTGGGGGCGTGGCCAAGATGGCCGCAGAGTGGCCCAGTTTGGCTCAGTACCGCAGAGATGAGCACTTAATGATAACATGACGGGTCTAATAATGCTCAGAGGTGTGTGTCTGTGTGTGTGTCTGTGTGTGTGTCTGTGTTTGTTTGTTTGTTTGTTTGTTTGTTTTAAATTGAAATCTCTAGATGATCATCTCATCTGACCCAAAGCATCAAAGTAGCTCCAGAGCCAGAACCAGCCGGTGGTGTGTCCTCCAGAGTGTCCACTGGTGAGCAGTGAGCTTGTTGGAGCTCATGCTGGAACCAGAGAGCCCAGAGCCCCTTCTGCTGGAGGACAGACTACAGCATAGCATACATGCTGCTCCAGCACGTTGGCCTGTCCTGCTGCAGTCTCCTTATGGGCCGGCTGAGCTGCATCTGAATAGATGGATGGATGGATGGATGGATGGATGGATGGATGGATATGATGGGCTGAGGCGGGATGTTCAACATGTCCATTATCTGTAAACCAGAAGAGCCCTGTCAGCAGTGTGGAGGCTGTGACAGAGGCATGGCGGGCTGAGGAGGCTGGCTTTACTCAGGGAACGACATGAACAGAACTTCTCAGACATATCAGTCCAGCTGCTGTGGCTTGGCTGGTGTTTGACCCCACAAACTGGTCTGCATGCAGAAAGACTCTGCAGAGTGAAGTCCTCACCAGTCTGGCTCACAGGTAACCTGGTGAGAGACACTGGGAGCTGAGCTGATGGTGATGAGCTGCAACAGGCTGCTGATGGGCTTTCTCACCAAGCTGTGGTGATGTGGTTTCTATAATGTGGTGACAGCCGCCAGGACACTTGAAAGATGATGAAAGCCCGTATCATCTACAGGTGACAACAGCTGGTCATCAAAAGCAGCGTACTGAATGAGAGCTTTTTGGTTTTCTGGACTGTGGCTTGTATCTGGACACTTCTCACCTCTCCAGCAGCAGAGTGTCGGTTCTGCTGTGGCCGGTAGCTCACCAGAGCTGATCTGCAGATGCTCTCGTCTTCCCTCTGTGTCAGCGGTGGCTTTCAGGGATTGGCTGTTACTCGTGACGTGTAACCAATCGGATTGTTGTGGCAGGCATTAAGACATAACCTATCTTCCTGTTTCTGTTTGTGTCCCTCTTTCTGACTCTGTCACCTCTTCTGCATCCACCCTCAGTAGATGGATGGATGGATGGATGGATGGATGGATGGATGGATGGATGGATGGATGGATGGAGTTTGCAGCAGAAAACACTCGATGGCATTTCGCACTTCGGTAGCCCACAAACACTTATAAACAATGTCTCCTCATTGCACACGTTATGGCCAGACCGGCTGGATCTGATTTCTTGTCCATATTTACAAATGTGATGGCTTGTTAGATAAAAGGCAGTTTGAGTCTGACAGGGCAGCACATCTGTCCTGTAGCTGGTGAGATACATCAGTCTGGAGGCAGAATGGTGGGCAGAGTGACGCAACAGCTGTAACCACCAGATATAATGAATGGAAACAAAAAATATACATATTTATGCATTTATTGTCCCTAATTAGATTAAAATGTGTTAAAATCACCACATGCTTTCTGTCTTTTTTATTTGGTTTAATTTATGGTGTCGGTGTGACTGTGGTTCCCTCCAACAGCATGAAACAAGATGCTGTGATAGAAAACACTTCAATAAAGTCCAGTCATCACTGGACACGTCACCAACCAGACCTCTTCAGTGTCTGTGACCAATAAGAAGCCAGACTTCCTGCTTTCTGTGCTGAATCTGCCTGTTTCAGATGCAGCAGCCTGAAGCTAATCAAATCACCTCTAAATCTAGTTTTACTGAAAAACAATGCAACACAAAGCTAACGGCTTGTAAATTATATTACTAGGAAAACCAGAGGAGTAAGATTAGTCCTGTCGTCACGCTGCAGACGGTTCAATTCAGTTTTATCTGTAGAGCTCAGTTTACAGCGTATGTCGTCTCACAGCCTGAACATAGTCAGCTATGGACCTCACAGAGTTAAACAGAGAACCAACAATCCAGAGCAGCCTTTGGACTTCCTCTGAGCAAGCGGCTGGCAACGGTGGGAAGGAACCAAACCCCCCAAAGAGGGGAACAAAACCTCCAACAGAACCAGGCTCAGGGAGGACGGCCATCTGCCTGGACCGGTTGGGTGAGAGTGAGGATAGTAGATGGAGAGCAGCAACAGAACAGAACAATAAATATGAATATAAGGATTTTGGGGGTCAGAGACGTCCACAGAGAGAACAAGCACAGACAGCTGTAGAGGCTGATTCACGTGACCGAGTGAGAAGATGTCGTACCTGCAGATGAAGGTCCTTCACAGAACCGCCACTGCTCTACTGCTGCTTTTAATTTCTTGAGAGCATTTGTTGGCCCTGCCGGGAGTTGATAGAGTCCAGTGCACAGCACTGTGATGTGGGTGAATGTCACATCTATTTATAACCACATCCAAATCCTGCATGTTTTCATCTGCATTGAGACTTGAGTCCATCTCGTTGTTTTTGAGAAGATGTGTCCACGTCGGTGAAGAGGGCTGGTGTGTTCGCTGCCTGCCACCCTGAGTGTGAATGGCTTCATTTAGCACTCCTTATCCTCTCCTATCTCACCTTCACTCCTCCTTCTCAAACCCTCAGTCCGTCCCAGACTGCTTCTTTGCAGGGTGCACAACGATAATGTGGAAAATCCCCCATATGCCACCACAAAGCAGGCTGTATTCTCACAGACGGAGATCATTTCAAAGACGGTTAATTAAAGGCGCTCTCCAGCTGACCAGCATCAGTGTGTTCTGAACCAAAGCCAGTAATGGAAAGGAGGGGAGGGGGTGATGCTCAGAGGACACAGGAGACCCTCAGTGACTGCAGCTATGCATGCCAACAAATGAGACAAAGGAAGTGTTTCCAGTGTGATAGATGTGTGTCTGTAGGCCTAAAACCTCCAACTTTGTTGGCTTTAAAGTGTCTCTGCTGTTTCTGATTGAGGCCACATTATAAAGGAAGGCTCTGTTAAAACAGGGCTAACCCATTTTATTTTATCTCTTGGTTCTATTGTAATATCTCTCAGCCGTGGTCTCCACTTCAACGGGTTCTTTCCCACAGGAGTCGACACCTTCAGGATACAATGGATGTTGCTGTACACCTAAAATACTGTCAGGTATTTTGGGCTGCGGATAGTACATGAACTAGTTTTCCAGCATCACTCTGAGACAGAATGTTCCTTCTGACAATCGTGTGCAGGTGAAAAACGACTGTTCAGAGTCTGGCTTTATGTGTGAGTGACCAGTGCTGGCCAGAAAGAACTGGAGGCTTCGTCACAGTGGTGCTGGAGGCCCAGGCCGTCCTGTCCATGGTTAGACAGAGACTGTCTGAGGTGTTCAAGGCCAAGT